TACGGGACCTGCTGATGACATTAACGTCACAAAAACTAAATAAAGCATGAGTACGCAGCGTCTTGAAGGACCTAGTGCTTAGGTTCATTTAGGCGCAGTTTAGGGATCGTGAAATATGAAAAGGAACGCACCATCTGCTCGAATACATCCGAAGCTTCGGGATAGAAAACAGGAAAAATTAGACGTTCCTCTCGTTCTTTAACGGCACGAGCGGGGAAACGCTACAGTAAGGGCAACTTTGCCGTCGAAGTCTTTAGTGTGAAAACCTAGCGACTTGTAAAGCAGAGTCGACAGCGTGCCGATATTTCGCGCCCAAGCCTGAGGATCGCAAAGAGGAACTGGTTCAGATGATTTGATCATGGTGTATGTTTGGGCCTACTCTTTCGACACTGTGACTTTTTGTAAGGCAACTCAATTCGAATTCAAAGAAAGAAGGCCTGGTCACGGAGTCTTTTGTACTGGACAAGTTCTCCGAATTGCATCGGGATACATCTAAAAGTCAGGTCTCGTTAGTCATTGGGCCGTCCAACAGTCGCGAACAATCTAAAGGGTCCACTGCTGTTGAAAGCTCTTCTGTCACTTGACCATAAAATTCACCACTTTGCCCAGTTCTACCCAAGGTAACGCGCAACTGGAAGGATGAGGAGTAGCAGAGAGTAGTCACACTATCAACTGCTCAGTACTCCTTGACCCCGTGCACATTTCTCCGATTACCATCCAGGAAACCATTTGGTTCATGACGAGGCGACTAACGTCAACAAGTCCAGAGAAAGCCTTAAGTACCCTATTATGGCACTTAATCACCGCCAACAACACCAAACAACACCACCAATGGAATCACTCAAGAGATAAAGGGTCTAAATCGGTCAATGCAAAAGCAAAAGCACAAATCAAAGAATTATAAAAATCGATAGTATCGATGAAATGCGGACAACACTCAATTGGACATCAAACTTTCATACACGTCATCAAAAAGACCACACAAAGTGATACCGGGTCCTCATCGTACACAAGCAGGCTTATCGTACAATGGGATTATTTGACGCCTCAGACTTTTTTCTTTCATCTTCATTTAAAACTTGTTTTTATGGCGATGTCGTAATATCCAAACGGCTACGCTACCCATCAGAAGCACCTTATCATGGATGCAAATGTACAAAGAGACCAACACACCAATAGATGGCATTATTACAGCGTTCAAATAAAGACCGGCTGAAAAAAAGTAATCAACTGGGAAAAACCGTGATATAGAGCGGAAGTAGTCCGTAGAGTCCGTTTCCATACCGCACAGGTCCCGCCATCGCGCCTTTAATTGCCAACCGTTGAGTTGGAGCGCGCCAGGCGATATTTAGAGATTAGCAGTTGCCCACCATTTCTGCCTGTGATTTCCATGAAGCACTAACTTCAAGAGAGCGGGTATGCCCGTGATACAGCTCCTACACCTTTGAGAGACGGATTCAAAAAGTATACGATATACTGGTGCAGATGAGAAATGAAAAAGTCATGTGGTTTCGCTAACTAATAAGGCTCGCTACGACTGTGCTAAGGAAAATTTAGTGTCCCAGAATACCCTATCACCCCTTTCCAAAAGCTTTTTCAAGGTGGCCTAATTCAAACCCAAATTCCCACGGTAATTACCATGCAAGCGGGAAATCTTCGATAGTGCTCTCGCGGCTTCAGATTACTATTACCATACTCACTTATTGACACAACGCCATTGACAAATATTCTTTTAAATATGATATATACGTTGTGCACTCCCAATTCTTAATGAATTTCTGCGATACAAGACGGAACGATGCACCAATTGGGCACAAGCTCACACACCCTACACTAGAGGAGGGGCGTATGTTGCCCTCCTCATGGGTGGAGTGGGAATAGCTCTCGCATCTTGCGACTGCTTCAATGGTGACTGTAGAATTTCGGGTCCACTGAAGACTTTCCATGAACAAGGAATGGAAGAGGAAAGTTTTTTTTCCCTTTGACGACAGCGCGGCTCAAGGGTGAGCCACGGGTTTTTGGTCGCGTGGGACAATGCGGCTCAACGGTGGACCGCACCCTTCTCATCGGTCGTTTTTCTCGATTTTTAGTTTTACTTGGAGTTTCCTGTATTTAATGGGTTTGCAATCACCAAATTACACTATACACAAAGTGGGCTAGGAAGAAATTGCTAATCTGAAAACTACTAATTAATTCAACTCTCTACCTGGAAATCACACTTCTTGTGCATTTGAAAACAATGTAAAAATGACTTTCACATATACTGCCTCTGGATTTGTCTCGTTTTGTAGGAGTTTTCAGAACACTTCCATAAGTTCGAGATAGTTGTCTGTAACAAATTTTTCAAAAGCCTGCCCTCCTTTTAACTGCCTCGTCTTTTACTAGTATTACTGTATTCCTTTCCGCCTTTTCGAGTGTCGGACAAGTGGGTGCTATGTTCCAATGAGTCATTCACAAGTTATCGGTATAGAGATGCATTCTTGATTCAAAAGTCCGTCCATTAGTCATGACCGCAGCAAATATACATAGCTGCTGAGTCCCTGCTTGTGGGCTGACTACCGAAGTAAATCTTGAATCTAATTTAAGTAAATCTTAGCCCCCCTCCCC